ATCTTTCATATACTGTTCTGAGAGCTTTTTGCTAAAGAACCAGTGTATAAAAGCTTTAAACAAACAAACAAGCTACTATAATAGACTCAGGCAAAACAGAATCAAGATTGCCAGGACTTTGGGGGGCGATGCTCTACATGGGATATTTGGTTTGCGTTCCTATTTTTGCTGTCTGTTTTTTATCCTTGCGGCTCTCTTTGGTTGCTTGCGAGATTCATTCTGCACAACCTGGGAAAGACTGAACCTTAACGGAAAGTTTGGAAAGCTTTTCAATCGGAGAAATAACATGCCACAGATCAGACAAAGAGTACAAGCCACGAGTTTGAGAAGATGCCAATGAGGTTAAACGCAGCATCAAGGACGCACCGCAGCGTGCCCAGAGGAAGGAGACGGAGCAAGCTGTGCCAAAACAACTAGAATGAGGAAACGGCTGGCGCATCTCTCTCTGCCCAGGCTGGACTCCAACGCTGGAACAGCATCCTCTGAGCAGCGGTGGGCACAGGCTGCGCTAGCAAACCCCTGCTGTCTTCCGATAACTTGGGAGACTCTTGGGAGCAGGGTGGAGGCCTAAGGGGCGCAAGGAAAATGTCCAGAGCATGACCTTTCCTTCCATCATGCTGTCGCTTGAAGCTCCGGCAGCCTGCCAGAAGTCTCGGGGTGGGGTGGGGACAGCACAAAAGCCCGGAAGCCACGACACTGTTCACGGCGGGGGGAAGGGGACAGGTCCTTTTGGAGACTCCAGTCGGCACTCGGGTAAACGTTGGCACTTCGGAAACCAAGATCAGTCATTCCTTTTCCACATCGATATGCCTTGCAAGGCAAAGCCCTTCTAAGAGTAGTGGGGTGTAGTGGTTAGAGCATTGGGGTGGGACTCTGGGGACTGGGCAGGTTTCTAGTCCATGCTTGGCCACAACATTGCTGGATGACATGGGGCCAAGGGAATAGAAGCCACTCTGGCCACCGATTCCCCCTGAGCGCCTCTCACAGGGCTGCTGTGACATTAACACGGAGAGGAGGCGGTGTATGTGGGCCTTGGAGTTTTCGCAGGAGGAACAGTGGGAGATAAATAGCTGAAGTAAATAAATAAGATGCCCGCACACCCTTTTTCAAAGCCACAGTGCAAGCCGGACGGATGGACTGGGAAGCCTCGGCTGGCATTCCTGGCCGGGCGTCTGCCCAGACAGCTTGGCCAGCAGATTCCTCTTCCAGAATCGCCGTCTGCTGCAGCCGCAACCTGACAGGAAAACCTCTTGATGTCGAGAGCAGCTGAGAGCGCCACTTCCTACCGATTCTGCTTGCAGGGAGGAGCCCGGGGGTGCCGTGTCCTCACACATCTTCCTCTCACACGGGAAGGGGAGAAACGCAAGCGCAGCTCGGGGGGCACGAGGAGGCAGAAAGAAGGGGCTTCTGTGGCGATGCCCACAGGCCGGGCCCCCCTGAGACAGCGCAGCCACTGTCTCCTGCACGCGGGGCCAACAGCTGGGGCCCCAGCATCCCCGCCACTAATCCCCGGGTCCTCAAACCCCAGGCCAAGCGGCAGTACCCAGTCACTGCGTTAAATGGCCCACAATCCCTTTCCACAGTAATAGCTCAGGGGCATTGTGGGAGGCAAGAGAGGACAGCCAGCCGGGCCCAACCTTCCAGGGAGCCATCTCCTCTGCCCTGTTCCGCCACCCATCAGAGTGCAATTTCCTGGGGGGCAGGCGGATTAGGGGCAGGGGCAGGGGAGGCCCCTCCCGCCTTTGTCGCGGCCATACACGTCTTCCCCAGCATGGCTGTTTGGCACCCAGTTGCGAGTTGTGCACAGAGGGCCCCGGCACCTGCGCCCGCATGGAAACAACGCCCGATCAGGGTCTGCATCTTTCAGGCAGCGGCCAAGATCATGGCACCGATGGGCACTCGATTTCCCACAATGCAACTGCACCAGCAAGCGTACCTCTCCCGGGATGCTGGGGAAAAATACGCATTTTATGCCAAGACGAGCTTGGCACGTTCCAGGCCGGTTCTGTTTGGCAGCCATAAAAACAGACAAGTCGCTTAGATGAAATCGCATGCGAAGGACCTTCGGAGGGGTTTCTGGTGCACGGCGGCATCCGGGGGCTTTCTGGATTCCCCAGCACGGTTCTCTGGGGCCTCGAACAGTGAGACGGTGTTCCCACACTGCCAGCAAAGAATCTGGCACAGCGGCTCCGGGGCAGAGGAACCTCACCAATGGGTGGAACGGAACGGAACGGAAGCTGCCCTGCTCCTCTGTGGAAAATCTTGCCTGACCTGCTAGGCCTTTTATTCAGCACCGCAGGACTTCTGGAGCTCGGCCTGCAACGCCTCCCGGGTTTGGCAGCGCTCCTCTCCCTCCCCACCCTCCAGCGGCACATGGGGGGATGCGCCGATCGCCTTGGCCCGAAGAACAAGCGAGCCTCTTACTCAACGGGATCCACAGGCAGCCCCGCCGGCCTTGACACAAGCGTGGCACGCCCTGCGCCTTCCTGCAGCGCGTCTCCAGCGTCGCCCAGAGGTATCGGCCTGGGACAGGACAAGCGGCACTTCCCTCGGAAGCCGCTGTGGGTGAGCGGATGGGTCCGTGTTGCACGGGGGGCGAGGGGACACCCGGCAGCGGTACGGCCCCCGGGAAAAGCTGTGGCCGGCTCCGCCTCGCCGGGCAAGCCAGGTTTCTTCTTCCAGCATTTCTGGCCCTTCGTCAAACAGATGCGGAATTCGTCTGTCCCCAGCAAGCTGTCTAGTGAGTCACCTCATCCGGCTGACCAAAAAAGGGGCTGAGATGGACTCGTAAAAACAGGCTTGGAGGAACATCTTCTGGGGCCCAGTCCCTGCTGGGGTGGCAGCACAAGGCCTTTGCCCCCATGCCTCTCCACAGCACAGAGTGTCCCCCGGGCCCTTTCCCACCTTGTTGCGGCACGGGGAAGGCCTGCACGGCCGATGGATCACTGCACGCCCCCGGCTCTCCGGTGGCCTCGTCTCCCTGCCAGGCAAAATCCAAGAATCCTGGGAAGGGCTGTGCGCCGCCTTTCCGGACTTGCCTGCCCTTCGCACATTCGAGGCAACAGACCGTCTCTTTGCAAAAGACGCTTTATTCCCCAGAGGAAACCCAACAACACAAGCACCCCGGACGGTATCTCTGAGCATGCATGCAGTGGTGGTTGAGCCCAACTGCTTCCAGAAGCCCTCCTTTTGAGTATGCCTGGGCCCAGTCCTTGTGAAGGGAGCCCGCCTCTTTTCTGCACAGCCATCCTCCAGCTGCCCGGCCCCCCTCGTCCGACTCCCGGCGGGGTCAAGAGCCGTGCCAGCTTCACCCAACTCAGAGTGCTCCCCTCCCAGGCCTGACTCCCGGGCATCTTGGCTCTTCTCGGAGCTGCCTTGAGATAAGCTCTGCTTCTTGCATCTCAGCGTCTAAGCTCCGCTTTCCCAGGCCCCCTAGCCGTCTTTCTCTGACTCGGAGCCCAGCCCCGCACAGCCCGTGAGTGCGCCCCGAGAACAGCGGCACCGATTCTGTGGCAAAGCAGACGTGCTCCGGTATGCGCAGAGGCGGCCCGGTCATCTCACAGCTCACCAGAGTTCGATGCTTCTGACCTTACCGGGCTGCCAGCACCAACTCGGTCCCTTCCAGATGTGCCGGGGTGCAAACTGCATCCCCCCAACATCCAGCAGCAGACTGCAGCTGCGTCCAACACATCTGGCGGGGGCTGTGTCGGGGGAGGCTCTTGCAGAGACCCCCCCACCCCCTCCAGCACACGCGCCCCCACAGCATTCCCAAAAGCAGCGCTGCATCTTCCCACTCAAGACGAGCTCTAGGACCCGCAAGGAGTCGCGCATTTTCCAGCATTCGCTAGCCACCGTCTGTCTTCGGATCGGCACTCGGGGACAAAATATATTTGCTCACTCTTCCTTTCCTCCCTAAAGCCTGCCCCATCCCTGGAAAATACAGAAATGCCCTCCCTGCGCCCGCTTCAGCCATCTCTGTTGACCACAGAGCAGAAACGCACCGTGGAAAACATTTCTCTGCTCCCGAGGATCAGCGGCTGCGTCCGTGGAGGGGACGGCACCACTGACGGGCTGATCGCAACCCCAGCCTGGCATTGTCCAGAGGTGGAGGGAAAACACTACCTTTGTCCACCGCCCCCCCCCCCCGCGAGGGCCGGGCATGGATACGGACCCAAAGTTTCCCCATCCCTCTCGCACCTCCCCTCCCGTTCCCGCAGTCTGCAGCAGAAGCTACCTGGGGACCGACTTCCTCTTTTCCCTCCCCGCGCGGTTTCCTTGCGTGCTGCGTCTTTCGGCTGCAGCGGGACTCTCACTGATGGATTGTAAGTGCCCTGGGAGGCTTCTAGGCAGAGGAGCAGGGTAAAAATGCTCTGAAGGAGCCAGGGAGTGAACAGGACTGGAAACGGACAGAGGGATTCCTGGTTTGCCGAAAGCGTGGTGTGTGTCCGCTACACTTGTCCCGGAAAGGTTTACCGGCGCCACAACGGTGCCTCTTCTGCCACAGGGGGCTTGTGCGGCAACTGCCTGGGGCTAGTCGCAGGCTGTACCGGCGGCCTGGCCCCTACATTTTCTGTCCCCTCTTTTGTGAAACAAAGAAAACTACAAGACAGTTCACCAGGTTGTCTAGACAAGGCCTGCAAACCGAAGAGCCGCCTTCCCAACTTTTGGAAGGGTACAAGCCCAATCTCCAGGGGACGGCAGCTGGCTCGGGGGCATTGGCTCCCGGCCCGACCCACCTCGCGGGGCTCTTGGGAAGACCAGAGGGGGAGCGGAGCGTGTCGCCCCCCGAGCTCCTCGCCAGAGGAGGGCGCAGGGTGGAAGAAGGGGCGGCCGCGTGGATCCGACCCGAGGAGGGCGCGCGTGGGGCTTGCCGGCTGCGTGACGCAGTTTGCGGACCGGCCTTTCGCTCCGGGGGTGCGGGAACGGGGGGCGCAGCGAAGGCAGGGCCGCCTGCCCCCCTCCCTTCCCCACCTCCCCTCCCCTCCCCTCCCCGCGCCTACCTTGCCGGTCCCTTGCGCGGGGGCGGCCAGGAGCTCGGAGAGCAGCAGCAGCAGCGCGACCGCCGCGCAGGGCAGCCCCCGACGGCCGCCGCCGCCCTGGCGCGCTCCCATGGCCGCGCCGCCCGTCCTCGGGGGCTCCAGGCGGCTCCGTCCGCGCCGCGGCTCTGCCTGGACTGCGGCGCGGGCGAGAGCGGCGGCCGGAGAGGCTGCCCGGGCCGGGTGGGCAGGGAGAAGGGAGGGGCTTCCGTGGCCGGAGACCCCGCCGCTGGGCTGGGCTGGCTGGGCTGGGCGGCCGCCCCCGTCGCCCCGAGGAAGCCCCGCGAGCGCGCGGCGGGCGCAAGGGGGCGCCTCCCGCCGCGCGGCGGCCTCAGTGGCCCGCGTCTGCGAAATGGGGCGGCGGGACCGGGAAGGCGACCCGCTCGGGCCGCGCAGCGCAGGTGCGGCGCCCTTGGGCGCGACCCTGCGGCGGCCTGGCCCGCGGGGACGAGCCGCCCCCCCCGGCCCGGCCGTGTCCCCCCCCCCGCGCCCCTCTGGCCCAACGTGCGCGGCGCTGCGCCTCGGCTATTTGAAGGCACGGCTCTTGCCTTCCGCTGGAAAGCGGCGCACGGACCCCGTCCAGAAACGCCTTGGCGTTTGCACCTCGCCCGCGCCGACGCAGAGAAATTCCAGACGCGTAGGGCTTTCCTCTGATTCAGTAGCCATAGGATTGCGTCTTAGGGGGAGAGCGAGCGCCCCCCGAAATGGCACTGGGGGTCAGAGTCCGGAAGGGTCCAAAGCACCCCCGATCGCGAACACGGAGCCGCGGAGCGAGGAGTTTGAGGACCAGTCCGCACGGTATGCGGCAGACACGTGGAACAGCCCCCCCCCCTTTTCTATTCTTCATCTATTGCTTCATTGCATTCCTATCTTGCCTTTTTTTCCTGGGAACTTGCTTACAAAATTAGCCTCCCCGCATTATGTTCTCAGTACAACAACCCTGTGAGGTAGGTAGGCTGAGTCAGGGACAGGCCCAAAGCCGTGCCACCTGTCAGCATCCTGACCGTGTGCGGATGAGGACGCAGTTTTCTTGGGTTCCGTTTCCAACATCTTGACTTCTTGCTGGTGGTGAACCGGAATAAAAGAATTGGAAAGAGGAGGGGGAAAGGAGCTTTAATTTAGTCTCTTGCTCCTTATGGAAAGTGTATTAACTCTCTTTAAGAAGCCATGGAAGTGCGGTAGTCAGCGGAAGGGCTGTTATCACAGATTATGAGTAAACAGAAATAGCAACCTTTCTGCCTGCCTACGAATTTTGAGTTGGGAGGGCTTATGCAGAGGGAAGTGGGCTCTGGCTGCATCGACCACATCACCCACTCGCTCGCGTGCATTATGGCGTTCAGCAGCGGGACTTCCTTTCCAGCAAATGTGCACAGGATCGTAGCCCTCGCCGTGTTCAGGAAGAAAAACTCAGGGCTGGGACCTCTCTTTTCTCCAAAACTGGGACAGAACTGGATCTTCAATGTTCTTAATTAACCCCCTGGAACACCTTCAGAGAGTAGCATTTTCAGCATCCGCAGGAGCGAATAAGAATCAAATCCGGGAAGAAGGAAGATGGAAAAGAAGCAATAAAGTATAGTTTTGTAGGAACACTTTAAATCCGCCCCCCCCACACACACACACACACCGCCGCCCCACAGTGCCATGCATCCCCCTTGGCTCCCTCTGCATCTTGCTCTCTCGGCGCGGGACTGTTGCCGGTTAATTCGGATTGCACTTTCACAACAGCTTTGTGAGGTAGGCCGGGCAGGGAAGGGCACGCGCCTCCGCCCGGCTCGGGACACGGGGCGTGGGCGCCCCCTCGTGGGGAAAGCGGCGCGCAGGCGAGGCTCTGGCGGGCGGCAGCGGCGATGCATATTAATGAGCAGGCGGGGCCCGCGCAGGAGGGTCGCTCGCCCTGAACCTGTTCGGGGCGCCCATTGTGCGCTGAAGGGGGGGAAGGAAAGCGGAGAGGGGGAGAGAGGCGCACGTGCGGATGGGCAGCTCGCTCTTCTCCCCCGCGCGGGCTGGCGGTGGCTTCTCCCGCGCTCGGCCTACAGTTCCCGGCATGCCCGGCAGGAGGTGGCGCGATAAATGGCGCGCCGGCGCCGCCCCGCGCGTGCGCAGCGGCGGGCGGCCGCGAGAGGGGCGTGTGGTGCGCGGCTCCTGCCGGCGCTCCGTCAGTCAGGCAGGCAGTGCCGGCGGCGGCGGGCTCCACTCCCCGTCGGTCCGTCGCGAGGGCGCCTCGGCGGCGGCGGCGGGCGGCCGAGAGAGAGAAGGCGCGGAGCGGGAAGCCGCAGCGGCGGCCGGAGGGGCGGCGGCGGCGGCGATGGGCGCTCGGGGCGGCGGG